TTTGTTACTTAAAACATCTCTGGGAGGTAGATTTATTTTATTAGTTATTCTTATTTTACTGATGGATAAATTGAAGCAGAGCAAATTTAATGACTTATCCAAGGCTGGTAGGATAAGCTGTCAGAGCACAGGTTAGAAACCAAGTCCATGCCTCAGTAATCCCAGGAAAGGGGTCATTATTGTTAAAACTGTTGAGTTTTTATAGATGCAAGAATCTATAACTGATTCTTGAAACTATCTGACACATTTTTCTTCCCTTTTTGTAAAGTGTAAGTGCCCAATCCATATTTTGGGGTTTTCTTTTATTTTAAAACCAATTTTTCAAATGTAATTTTTTTTCTTTTCTGCCAACTATTTTTTTTTTTTTTGCAGTTTTTGGCCGGGGCCGGGTTTGAACCCACCACCTCTGGTATATGTGGCCTGCGCCCTACTCCTTTGAGCCACAGGCACTGCCCTGCCAATTATTTTTTTATTCCTGTTCTAAAACTCTTAGAGTTATCCCTTCCATTGGGAATCACTGCTAAAAAAACAGACAAATAGCTATGAATTTTTCTTCTGCTTCTACTGGAGAAGCCAGGAAAGGTTAGTGGAAAGAGTGCAGGCTTTGGAGTTACACAAGCTTGGATTTAGGTCCTGGTATACTTTGTGTCTCAGTTTCTTTATTCATAAAATGAGGTTAAGAAACCCCAGAAGGTTGTAAATATTGACTGAAATTACATGTATAGGTATCTGGTACAGTGTTCACTATAGTAGGTGATCAAGAAATGCTCTGGGTAAGGTGATTATATTAAGTAATTCTATTTTGTGCAGTGGTTTCCTAACTAATTTGAATGGCCAATTTAAGGGATCAAAATCAAGCATTTAGAAGAACAAAGATGCTATTTTCATGTGTCCTCATGAACAGATCTTTATGCAATAAGCTAATATTGAAAAATCCACACTTGCTGCTTTGTAATGCACAGTGGATCCCGCGTAGAACATCCAGATGCATTTCTGAATAGCCTGTTTGGCGTGTGTTGTCCCATACCACCTCCAGATTTAGCAAGTAAGATTATGGAGTACTCTAAATCCCACGTGAATTCAACATTACTGGCCACTCCCTTGACTAAATGCCTCCATCAATTCACTTGAAATTGGAAGACAGCACTTAGAAGTGCTGGTTAGCAGTTTCCTGTGCATATGGCCTGAGAACACATGAATATTGCCTTGCTTTAAATTTGATATTCAGCTTTTTGTGGCAGAGTTTTCATCTCATAAACACAGGAGCCACATAAAGACAGGTAAGAACATGTCAAAATGCTGTCACAATAAATCCAAGAGATTTTGGCCCTGAGGAAGATGGGCAAGTCAATGATTCTTTGCACCCCCTTATAGGGAATGTTTGTTAATTTGATTGATTTGCTCATCTGTAGTTAAATGCTCTCCTGTTTTTGTTTGTTTCTTTGTTTGCTTGTTTGTTTTTTGAGACAGACTCTCGCCATCCCAGGTTAGAGTGCTATGGCATCATGATAGCTCACAGTAACCTCAAACTCGTTGGGCTAAAGAGATCCTCTTGCCCCAGCCTCCTGAGTAGCTGAGACTACAGGTACCTTCCACAACATGTCTAGTTTTTTCTATTTTTAGTAGAGATGGGGGGTTCTCATTCTTGCTCAAGCTGGTCTCAAACTCATGAGCTCAAGCAATCCACCCACCCTGGCCTCCCAGGGTGCTAGGATTACAGGCATGAGCCACTGCACCGTTCAGTGCTCTCCCGTTTGTGTAAACTTTAGGAAACACTCCCAACATGTTTGTGCAGTTTATTTAATGTTCATAAGTAATCTTTTGAGCTCCCAATTACTGCCATTAATTGCTTTTCAAGTAGGTAATAAGATAAAATTCACTGATGCTTATAAACTACTCTTTAAGGGCCAGGCAGTGGCTCACTCTTGTAATCCCAGCATTTTAGGAGGCTGACATGGGAGGATAGCCTGAGCTCAGGAGTTTGAGACCCGCCTTGACTGCTCTTTGAGGTGGCACAGTATGATTATT